CGCAGTCACAACGTCCATGAACTGAAGGAGTACGCGACAACTGCAGTGCAAGCCATGTGAGCGTAAGGAGTTACTTTTCTTCTTCTGCGCTTCAGCTCATCCGGAATGCAACGAAAATGAGAAGGCATATGGGATATAGGATCAGCAGGCTTATCGGAGCACATTTTTCATGTCTTTGGTTTCACACTTCATGTGAATAGCTACCGTGATATTACTAGACAAGAGGCAGGAACGCTAATGTGTGGCTGACTTTATGGAGTTATGCCAGGAGATAATGCAGGAGAACGTTGATAACAGATATATATATATATATATATATATATATATATATATATATATATATATATATATATATATATATAAATGAAAACACGGCCATTCAAACTTCCTACCGACGCGGCGGATGCCAAATATTTGCATCCATTATTTCTGCAATTTTTGCACATGTCCCGATAAGCTCAGCGCAAAGCCAATCGCAATATGTCTTTGATACATCAACCCTCCCCTTTCATAAGGTATACCGGCGATCGCGGACCGCACACTACCCCTACCCGCAAGGTTATTAGCAATGGATCTCTTTCCAATGCTCCCACACATATTTACTGCTCAAATAATCCGCGATTACAACGAATTACACAACGATGACACGAAAGCTGATTGCACCATTCATAATATGTTTACCTTACTTCTGATTGACGACTGATAGATTATCAACAAACGGTATTTCTTAAGCATGCTTGCACATTAAACGAGCTGCAAGCAACCCTTGTTACTGAGATGTAATACCCCGCTGATATATTAGACTTTACTCCAATTACACTCCGTTAACACCATTTTCGTAAAGATCGCGGTTAAAGTAAAGATGGAGGATGCCTCATGTAACTTCATCAATTATCTACAGCTAAACGCTTTGAACGTCCATCGTTGGCAAACGTCCCTGATTCTCTCTGGTTCTCCGTCTGAAGATCCTCGGTTTACCTGCATCTATCCGCAACCAGCCAAATTCATCAACCATGAATGTTGTCCGTATCACCTTAGCTTTCGATATTGCATCAGAATTGACGCACAAATAAAGGTTAATTGTAGGTGATTTCAACATACCAAAGAGAGTCTGGTATTCTCAGACCTACTTGTCCATACACAGAGCCTTCATTTATTCAGTCAGAGTTGTTTGTACGCAGTGGGTTATTATGCCCCCTAGCTTGATGAAGACATTAGACGTGATGTTTACATTGGATATGTCCGTCGTACAGAGAGGCGTTTCAGAAAACATCCCTGTAGCGACGGCAACATGATACTCTTAACCTAAAAATGGCCAACAAAAGAGTACCTATTCCTACTACACCAGCCGCAGCATTAACTGGAAACGCTTCCGTCAAATAATCCGGTCTTGCGATTCTGATGCCTTCATTCTCTTCAACAATGCATATACAGTCGTGGACCACTTCTATCATTAGTTTAAGCAAGCCATGATCCTCGTTGCTGCACAAGGAGAACGAATCAGTGATGTGTAAATGAGTGCAGCCGAACGTTCGAGAAGTCAGAAATCCAGCAAACTGATCGCGCGCTAAACATCGATGGGATATTTTACAATGATTCCACAGATGCTCCGACTCATCTCTGAAATCAAGCACTTACAGTTGATATGGAGTACACATGAAGATCAATCAACCCTACGAATGACATGTAAAGCAAAATACTTGGTCTGACTTCTCCGTCGAAAAACCACCAAACGCTTTTCATTGAGCACTGAACTGGTGGACAACATTCAGGCGCATTAAGCTCTTTCATCTCCACCTACACGATCCTTGACACTAACGCTATGATTACACTAAGGATCTAGCTACAGTGCCATTGCTCTCCGCAATATCCACCAAGCAAAACATTCTACTCAATCGTTCTCAATTCTGGAAGTTTATGGCATCCCCCATCCGCCATGAATCTGGGAGGGCCTGAAATGTCACTGCTCTTTTTGTATATGTTTGCCGTTTCACTGAAATCCAAGTACTTTGCAGATCAATGGAACTCTGCATTTATCAGCCCTCGCCACAAGGGCTGCGCAAGACAGAAGATTAACAATAACATGCTAAGAAAAACACTCTTATGATAGCCGGGTTATTTGTGAAATTGATAAAAAGTGTGAGGAAATTCATCAAATCATTGGAGCTGATAGACAGGTCTTAAAATGGTTTCCTTGACTAACGATCGTACACATTCTGGTAGCTGCATTGTCTGAACTACATACCGGACTCCATTGACTCAAAATATGCCGTTTTAATTCTATGCTTGCACATGCAGAAAATATTTGATCGGGTGCCTCACAAACAGTTACCGATGCAAATAAATTTCTTTGAAGTCCGCACTACATTAATGGGTTAGTTATCATCATACATGAACGGTCCCGCTAAAATAGTCTCCTTAGGCATCTATTGCTCTTCCTCGCGTCCAATTACCAGCGGGATTAAATAAGGAGTTGCGCTTGGTACATTAATAACCCTTTGTTTTGTCAACGATGGTAGTTCGGCTAACAAATATGACATGTCGTATTTATTTCTTGATGTTGTTACTATTGTCCACCAATACCGAGGAGTTGAGTTTCCGAATGTACTACAACTCACTCAAGAATACATCTATTCGCTTGAGGGTTGGTGCGACGAGTGTTGGATGACGTATTAAGCACAACAGTCAGGTATCATATGTCGCGGTTGCTTGATATTTAAATCATCTATCACAGGTAACAGCAAACGTCTCTGTGTACAACTGTCTACCCGTGACGTCGGAATCAGATATTCTTGTACCTTTATGTTCTTAGAACACATTGAGTACCAGATAGCATGAGCTAGACAATACTTCGCTAACATCTCTCATAACATGCATACAATCACAGCTACAGTTGAAGTATTTAAATTCCTTATTCGTTTCATATTGGATTATCGCCGCATAATCAGAGGCAATATGAGGAAATCAAACAGAACATCGATAGATAGCCTTCAACGGTCATTTACTAAGCATGTATTGGGAAAAATTATACCATAATCTCGCGCGAACGATGCCAGCAACTCCATCTCGATCCGCTTTGGTTGCGAAGACTAAACGATAACTGGAGACTGCTGCACAATCTGATTCATGGCAATGCCCATTGCAATCGATTCATCGTTAACATTGCAGCACAATTACACGCGAGACCTAGGTAACAGAGATCTTACAGTGATTATATCACGAGGCAAGACAAATTCGCTGTCTGACTTTCGTCTCATCATACATGCTTCGCTGTGGGATTGGTTGCCATTCAATGTCAGCTCGTGTGAGACTGTGCAATCCTTTCGCAGTAAGTTGAGGAACTACCTCTACCTGGATCCCCTTATGTCGTTTATTTCGTGGTGAAGCTCATTTGAGCATGTATTCCACGAAAGCCCAGATAACGTCTAGTGGCTGTAATATCACCAATTCACGCAGTGTAATTAGCCCTTACTGTCTAGAACCTACTCAAACTGCAAATTTGCCTCTAACCATCTCATAAGACAAACATATTTGGCAAATACCCTGCCAGAAATGCAGACAAATAAAAGAAGGTAATGCTATTGCTCTTGCAGGATGATGACAATCTGTGTGTGTATGTTCTGTGCAAAATATTGTAACAGCTTTTCATTTGATAAGGTACATGCCCATTTTTATGAACATTATTGTTGTTATTAGTGTTATTATTATTCTCTTCATGCGGTATATTGTTTCAAACAGAAGCAATACTAACCTGGAGCCTAAATGTGTCACTGGTACTGTACACCTTGGACCGATCACATATTGTGCGCTTGACACGTAACGGACTGCTTGGACAAGCGCTGGGAATTTGCCACATGGACACCGGTTACCTGCCGGGTTAGAATACGAACTAATGATGACTCTTTCAGATAAAAGATGTGGTAAGATGGTGCTGACGGAGAACGTTCAAATTCCCCATCCTAGGTTGACCAGGTATAGTCAGGCGTACTATTTGTGACCCCTACCACTACCACTCTCATCCCTGTGTGCCTTCCGTTAACAGCAATGTGTCATGCCACTCAGGAGCATACCTGTCCCACATAGACGTAAAGTCCTATCCTTGTGCTTGTACACAGGGAGTCCCATTGGCTAATGTCTCTTGACGAATGTGTGTGTCGCTGATAGTGTGTGCGTGTAACCCCTTAAGGGGGAGAATGAATTTAAACCCCCTCGTGAACTTAATGCAAAACAAATTATTGTGATTTTGGTAACAAGTTAAATTATGAGCACTATGGGTGATATGCCCTCTAAATTTTTATGATGATGTCTATGGAATATGCACTGAGACTGTCATAATAATAGCTACATTACAATCTTTTGCGCAACTTGATTCCTAGCTAATCGCAACACCATGAATCCGGGAAGCTTCGTTTGCTATGGTCATCAGACCTGTGTATTTGCCGACGTGCACTCTTTTACATGTGTTGTAGTGTTTGCTCGCAAGCAACTGTGACCTCGCAACTTAATGTGCCACTCGTTTTATGCTCCAGGGTAGCAGCCGTATTAGTATTTTACCTTTACCTCATGCATTGCCTTCATAAGTTGGTTATCGCATCCACTCGTCGAATTTCATCATACTTGCTCGGGTCATGTATGCTGACAAACGTGTGCCTTAATAGACGAGAAGACTGTAAAGTTAAATCCGGCTGATTCTATAAGTTCGCTTTATTCTGCATGTTTGACTTGCCAGCGGCTTTTAAATGACGTAGTCCCAATGAGGAATCTTTGCGTACATCAATATTCCACTGGTTAAATAGAGTCTAACCTAAATATTTGCCAATGTTCAACGTTCCTCACTTCTTCACTAACTTCATTAAAGATCACACGTAAACATGCCAAACGATTCGGTAGACATCGTCCCTGTTGAAATGTAGCACATAGATAATCGTTGAATGCCAGCCATCAATTTTAATAAACACTTTAATTTAAATAAACTGTTGTTAATCTTATTGCACACTAACCTAAAACATGTTACCTTCATCGGTAGTGTAGTGTATCTGAAAACGCAGTTTTTCAGCATTTTACTACATTGGATTTTATTATTATTTGAACCTTCCAAACATCCAGTTGTTTTACTGACTGTACAGCCGCCTTCACATTCTGCTGTCGTGAGTTCCACGTTGCATGTTTTACATTTGCTACTTCTCTTCCCATTCCTTTTAGATTGTGCAATATACGCTGGGTCCATCCGTCTCTATATTTTCTACCGTCCCGTATTTGGCACGCGATTTGCGTGTGAATGCTACCAACTAGCATCGTAAGCGCCGCACAACAGTAGATGGTTTTTTGTTCATCAGCACATTCCTGCAGCATTGTAGCAAATTGTGGATTAAGGAGAAACCAACTGGAAATCCAATCTGGAAATTTAATGGAATAATAAGAAACGACACCTAATAAGATAATGGGGACTTACATATCCCGGGTGCATTCATTAGCTGTTTACGTACAGAGAAAACTGTCAACCTTTCCACACCGTGCTATAAATCTCTCGGCGCATTCATTTTTAATGCAGCGATGGATTAGAGGTGATAATAACTAACCTAACCAAACGAAAGAATTCTGTGCTACATTTTTCAGCAAACAGAATGCCAGAACATGTGATGTGTGTTCTAATTGACTTAACTGTTTTCCTCCTAGGTGTACTGAAGTCAGACCTACTAATGCAGGATTGGCTCTAACTGGTTTTGCGCAGAATGTTTGATCATTCTATCGATAGAAAACCGTAATATAGCTTTTTCAAAAGTATGAAAAAATCATTGTAACTGATGAGGTACTCGTGAGCGATATAATTGCTTCACATGGAGAATGCATATTAGAAGTAAGGCTCAAGTTCTCCTCATTATGCCAGGCTAAGGTTCGAAGAGGAAAGTAGGTCATTCTGTTACAAAAGCACCCGCAACCTGGAATTTCAGTCAGTGTTTTAGTGCTACCAAAGGCTCAGTTAGGCCTTAAGCAAACATCTTCATTTAGATTGGAATACATACCTCAAAGGTTTGCTCCATCGTTTAAACTGCCCCAGGACGTCAAACTCATTTAACATCAATGTTGGGTGGACCGTGATTGTCGCCAAGGGCACCAAGAAACTTAAGCCTTCAGTGAGTTTAATTGCTATGAAAAGGATTGAGGCAAACTTTAACGTGCTCGGGCATTATTTGTTGTGCACCAGTTAACTAAGTAGGCACGTAGTATGCTATTTGTAATCTGCCCGAATGTTACCAATTTCGAGTTATATTTCTTACAAGGACAGTCATTTGGCCACTTGAATGTGACTTTCTATAGACATCCTAGGTATTGTAGATAAATCAGCCAACTTTATGCGAGTCACACCCATCTCACACATGAAGCAGCACGGTGTATCGAGGTTTTGTTGAGCAGTATCGCCTTCTGCTGCTAAAGTGGGAATAGTCCTACTCTCAATATCTAAGCGCCAACACATGTACTGTCCTCTCTACATCTTCACGGATATTCCGTAGAGCAAACGCAAACAGGCAATGAATGGCTTGAAAGACCAAGAGAGTGAATCCGTAACTAGAACCATCTTAGTTGTCGGAACCCTCTGGATACTATGATGAGAGTGAAGCTACAACACACCATCTGAAGCAGTGGTGGTACATTCACAGTGCCCTTTCCCTGAAATTCTCGTGGCTCAATTAAGCACGAGGCTACCTAATTTCACTAAGCTAGTGGCCAAAGGATAATAACATCGCGCTTAAATCCAGTGGTATGTCACAAGGGTACTGCAATGCTGGATGGGCTTTGCAGCGGCCTCCTTCTTTGCTCTGGTTCGAGGTCGCATCCATTTCCAAGAGAGCAAACGAAACGAAAATTACGTTTTGACCAGCTACCCCACCTGTTTGGATAATATTTTGCAGCCAGCATCCGAAAGTAGTGTCTACTCTCCATGTGTAACACGTAAGAAGTTAAACGAGGAGCCACTCATGGACCACTGGGTCTGGCAATGAGTAATTTGTCAATGCTTCACTCAGAAAACGACTAGCTGTTGACCTTCCACCGATCAGAGCAATGGCATACCAGATGGAGTCCATGCGCAAAACCAACCCAAAAATCATCTCCAAACAGCTTTCAGTTCCTCTGAAGGGCACCTTCTCTTATCACGCTAGCTGCAGGAGAAATGGACCTTAGCTATGTTGCCCCAATACTAAGGTAAAGAAAAAACCTGAAACAGAGTTACGCGGGATGAGTCACGGATAGGCATCGTTCCGGACAGCTAACAGCCGGTCATGGTGCCGCAAAGTAGTCACCTTATGACTAAATATTGAAACGGTGGTTGGAAGGGGAGACTAAGCGGGAGGGTGATGGACAAAGAAACTCACAACGCAAACGCAATTGAGGTCGGTTCCTAGCGATGTCCACAAGTGCATTCAGCCAAAAGTGTTCGTCGTCCTTCAGCCCCCAACCAGGGAGCCGTGTGGCTCCATCCGAGGCCAGCTTCAAAGTAAGGGCGTGCATTCCTCTAGAACAATTCATCATTTGACCCCGTCTCCCCTTCTTTCATCCGCAACCCCGGCGCGCGAAAACGCACGTCGCGGAAGTCGCTTGGCTGACATGCCTAAGACGTGGCCCAGCCATCGGAGCCTGGTGCGTGAAACAACGGTGCTGAGCGGTTTACTTCTTCTTACTGCGCCATAAACAAAGCGTGGAACTTGTTCATTGCTTACACGGTCTTCCCGCTAGATATGAACCAAACTATGAAGGTACCGGTGATCAAACGTTATTAGCCTCTTAATGTCGGCTGATCTAGTGGACTGTGTTTTACAACCGTACAGCAGGGTCGAAGGTAATGTTGTATTGTACATCCCATAAATCCGGGATGCCTCAATGTAGGTACACCAGGGTCTACTGGTTCTTTAGAAAACGCCTCAATAAACCTAGTACAATTTGGATAATCATAGGTCCTTATTCTCATCCCTGAAATGCGGCCTCATCCAGTAATTAATGTAGCTGAATTCCCGACACCAGGAATGTCATTCTTTCAGAACGAATATTCCAGTGTGGGAGATAACAGTTTCATTTACCACTGCAACGACCTGAAATATGAGAAAGGGAACGACCAGGTCCTATACGGCCGCATTCTATCTTGGCTGTCGCTTCACCCGTCATTATCCTCCCGGTTCTCGTCAGCTGTTCCTTTGCTTACACCTATTAGAACCTGTTCGACCAGCGCTACTCAGTAATTCGCAACTCTTAAATTTAATATGCGTGATCAAAGTGTTGCTCTAGTTTTCAGTCTTTGCACCTTCTTAGCAGCAACCTTCGCTTGAACGCACATCATCCCGAGCTGTTAAGATATACTTTTGCTGGCATTCGGATGGAATTGCTGTGGACACTTAAATGACCATGCAATCTGCTCCGCAGGCTGTAGCATAACAGCGCTACGAAATATTATGCGTAGGTATATTACTAAATATCGATTGTTAGCACCCCGATTGCCTCATCTTGCAACGCGTCTTCGTGTAAGTTGGCGCGCACAATCGCAAGACAATTTATCCCTGAATCCAGCAATCTACCTGCGGCTGAGAGTCAGGCAGCTAGCTGTCAAGACAAAGTGACCTTGGCGCCGGAGACTATTATTTATGTTCCATGGGTGGATTAATCGTCAGCAGCGAGTCCACATGCTTTAATGGTTGGGAGTGCCAGACCTACTGTGCCTCAAAGCGTCCGTAGAACATACAATAACGGCCAGAATAACACTGTCGTGTTGTTACCGCTCCATCTATTTCCATACCAACTGCAGGTACATAAGCCAATAAAGTTTAGACTGCGGGTTTTGAGCTGTTCTCTGAGCTGAGTGATTGTTGTTCAGACGTTTCGTTGCCTGACTAGGCAACATCATCAGTGCGGCTCCAGGGGCCTGGTTCGTAGTGCTTACGAGGCACTGCGAACCAGGCCCCTGGAGCCGCACTGATGATGTTGCCTAGTCAGGCAACGAAACGTCTGCACAACCATCACTCAGCACGGAGAACAGCGCAAAACCCGCATCCACACCCCGAACTACGGATATTCTCATTTATTTTAAAGTTTAGGCTGCACAACAGCACGGCAAGCTCATTTTGGTTCTGCGTGAATTGTAATACCGTCACATCATATAAGCCATACTTGCATTATACCATATACGTAAATGGCTAACAAAAAGTGGTTCAGCAAATATTAAGCACCAAAATAGCTTTGTAGGAAAATGCATAGGAAAATATTTGCCGCGTGTCTCTTTACCGCACTCTACTGCAAGAAAATCCACAACGACGGGTGGTTGCAATGCTCGACTGCGAATTCTTGAAAGATAGCCCTCCTGACAGCACCCGGAATCAGTTCGTTGGACTTCTTGACATTCTGATCGTAACTGCATCAGAGAGTAAGCTGGTTGATTTAACCAATCTATCGTTGTCCATCAGAAGCAGAATTCAAAAACTCATGTTGCTAAGAAATGCAGCTTGGCACGCTTACAGAGCCAGTCCTGATCCTGTATCCTAGAGTGATTAAGTGACCTAGTGCAACAACTGCAATACACTTGTTCGTGAAGACATAGTGGCTCATCAGCAACATTTTGTTAATAAATTTACGGAAAACCTATAGCTAATGTATAAATATGTTTACAGTATTCGCAAAGTGAAACACGGTTTCCTCCTGCTACAGACCTCAGTCCTTCAGGGAAAACCGTTTATTCGGCAAAGTCAACTCAGCGAAAATTGCAGCATGTTTGGCAAACCAAACCAACCAATATAAATTGACCATTCAGGTCTATTATCAATGATTCTTCTGTAAAGATGTGGTTCAACTTTTGACATAGTTAAACAAACAGAGAATAGCTCACTGGAATGTCCGCCAATTCGTGTCTAGTAATCGAATGCGCTACGTTATTCTCCCATTGGCTGTCTGACTTGCTCGTTTGGTCCATTCTTTAACTCTGACATAACTCTCCCATCTCACCATCCATTTTTCGTGTCCTTGTAACCCCATAACGCAACAACGCGTCTCCTTCGCTGTAGCTGCATTCATGGTCTTCTTGCCTCACGCCATAGGGTACTCCGCTCCCTCATACTACGGTATGCCTTTTGTGTCTTATCAGCTGCACTGGATTTCACCTGAACCTTTTCCCTCCAACGTTTATAATCTTGCACCGAACTCTTCATTCACCACACCTTTTATCCACCGCGCTTTATGTTCTGGTAA